CCAGTATCAATAATCAGTTCAATAATCAATATTAAAGTAATTTATAACAATCATATCAATAATCATAAGCATATCAATCTAATCTATCAATTCCAAGCAAATCAGAAAATCTACGAAAATCGGGCAGCGTAACGGCAGTCGATCAAATTTACACAAAAATCCTGCAAAAAAAGCACGAATTCCAAATCTCTCCAAATTACAATAGAATATCCACGACATCAATACAAGACTATTGTTCTATAGAATCCAAATCAAATCAAGTCCTGATATTTTTCTATTTCGCAGAATATACTCAAATCGTGTACAATAGTCATATCTATAACATACTAAAAGTTGTGCGGTGAAAGTTGTGCCAAATCAGAATCGTGTCCAAAATTCGACTACGAAAACACAAAATAGATCACAACTCGGTCAAAACTCAATATCTTTGAAAACATAAATAGGATTCAGAGTCCTTATCACGAGATCTACACTTTCTCCAACAGCAGCGTCGGACGAAAAACGCTCCGCGGCCTCCAAAACCAAGCTTTTCCCCTTTCTCTTTCTCTCTCTAAAATCAGATATTTTGATTTAAAAATGATTTTCTCTCTCCTCAAAACGAGCTCGTTTGCTTAAATCATAAAGCTGATCGGCCCGGCCGATCGTCAAATCGTCCCGGGACGATCAGACCAAAATCGATCGTCCTGGACGGTTCCCAGAACTTATCTCAGGACGGTATTTTGAATAGTGCAGATCGGCCTAGCCGATCTCACTATCGTCCCGGACGATTCTGGGAGGAAAATCCAAGCCATAGAGGAATAGTAAGGGAACGAGGTCTCACAAGAAGGAAGAAGCTCCTCCTCGACCACCGCCGGAGCTCTTCCCGCCGCCTGAAGACGCCGGGACTCTGCTGGATTTTCGGGAAACGCCGAAAATTTGTAGAACTTTGTAAACTTGCTTGAAGAAACGAATTGTAATTTGATTGCCCCGACTTGTGGGACGAATCAACCATTTGTAATTTGCAAAACACTATTGGAATTTTTCAACTGGGCGAGGCCCCATGGTTTTTTCCCTTTTTGGGTTTTCCACGTAAAAACCTCGGTGTTCATTTTTATTTTATTTTTGTGTGCTGAATAATCGTACAATGCTCGGGCGTGAATTTACAAACTCTACCGCCGCGTATATTCTAGCACGCGACACTTATAATTAAATCGAGCCCAAGATCTCATAATTCCGACATCATTAAGCCCTTCAAATGTCTCACAAACGGTCCACAATCAAGAGATTCAACATCGGTCGTCTATCCAAACCACTTCCCATTTACTCTTGATCCTCCACCTATTTGCAAGTCGTTTTCACTCTATGAAATTTATAAATAAACCCCTCCTCCTCTTGGAAGGGTGCCCAAAGCAAGAGAGAGACCAGAGATCGCTCTTGCCTCCTCGCTCCACCTCAAAGATCACCTGGAGTTCCAACAAACCACCACTTAAGGCCATGAGTTCTGTCAGACCACCACTTGAGGCCCTGAGTCTCGCCGGACCACCACTTGAGACCCTGAGTTCCGCTGGACCACCACTTGTGGCCCTGAGTTTCGCCGAACCACTACTTGAGGCCTTGAGTTCCGCCAGACCATCACCTGATGCCCTGAATTCTGCCAAACCACCCTGAGTCTTGAACTTCTGCCATACCACCACCTGACGCTCAGAGTTCTGTCGGACCACTACTTGAGGCCTTGACATCTGCAAAACCACCACTTGAGGTCCGAACATCTGTCAGAACACCACCTGAGGCCCAGACTTCTACCGAATCATCACCTAAGGCCTAGACTTCTGTTAAGCCACCACCTAACTCCCAGAGTTCTACTGGGAGTACCACCCCCCTACTACTATGATCTTTCTGACCCCAGTCTCCTACAGACTACGGTCCTACGACTAGCCTACTATGATTCTTTCGACCTCCATCACCAGACAATGGGATTTCTAACCCCAGTCTTCTGTCGACTCCAGTCCTTCCGACCTCCATCGTTAGACAATAATTTTCCTGACCCTGTCTCCTGCCGACTATAGTTCTTCCGACCTCAATCGCCTACTACGATCCTTCTGACCTCCATCACCATACAACAGTCTTTTTGACCTCTATCTCCTGCCGAATATAATACTTCCGACCTCTATTGCCTACTACAGTCCTTTTGACCTCAATCGCTAGACAACAATATTTCTAATTCTGATCTTCTGCTGACTACGATCCTTTAGACATCCCTCGCCAGACAACAATCTTTCAGACCCCTGTCAATTATGATCCTTCCGACCTCCATCACCTACTACAATATTTCCAGTATTTATCCTATCAACTATAATCCTGCCGACCAAAAAGCATGTCTATGTTGATTATTATAACTCTCACCATGTAAAGCGCTATATATGACATACATTGGTGACTTCAAGCCAAGGTCTTCTCCTAATGA